AAATGAGAGGCTACTAAAGACTTTCAGACATTTGTTGCATTCATATTTTTTCTTTATAGTGTGAATTCTTTGATGTTGAGTAAGGTGTGAGCTACAGCAGAAAGCTTTCCCACATTCACTGCATTCATAAGGCTTCTCTCCAGTATGGCTCTTCTGATGGTGAATGAGAGATGAACTATGAATGAAAGCCTTTCCACATATACGACACTCATAGCGTTTTTCTTGTGTATGAATTCTTAGATGTTGAACGAGAAGGGAAACACGACTAAAAGACTTTCCACAGTTTGTACATTCATATGGTTTCTCTCCAGTGTGAGTGCTCTGATGGTTAGTAAGGGATGAGCCATGGCTAAAGGCCTTCCCACATTCAATACATTTGTAGGGTTTCTCTCCGCTATGGCTTATCTGATGTCGTGTAAGGGATGAGCCATGGCTAAAGTCTTCCCACATTCACGACATTCATAGGGCTTCTCTCCTGTATGAATTCTCCAGTGGCGATTGAGGACTGACTGTTTGCCAAAGGCTTTCCCACATTCGCTGCATGTATAGATTTTCTCTCCATCACAAGTCTGGGAAAGGGTAAGAGATTTGCTCTGGTTGAAGGCTGCCCCACTTTCATTAGAATTCAAAAGTTTCTTTCCACCACTGATTTTCTCATTTTTCACAACTGACTTTTTTGGTAAATTCTTCTTTAATATATATTTGTGTGAATTCCCTTCAGCAGAATTTTTTTGTGGTTCAGAAACAGTAACCTTTGAAGAATAGGTGCTTCTAAATGGGTTGCATTCTATATATTCCAAATTCTTCATAGAATTTGAAAATTCATAACCTTGTTTTACAGCTTTTTGTATTATTACTGTTTGGGATGAATATTCATCATAAAGATCCTTCTTTGATGATAATTCCTTGTTTGTCCATCTTGATTCCCAATCTGAAATATATCAAGAAAGCAAAAAACTGCTTTTTTTTTTTTCCTTTTACTTCTTGAAAAGAAACTTCTACAGTGGAATTAGGAGAATTGGATAGGAAATGAAGCCACCAGAAAACACAAAGCTCTGACAACTCAAATATTTCAGTGACTTCTGAACAATGCTCAAATGGTGCCGAGAATACAAAGTTCACAGAAGCAGGAACAGAGTGTGATAACAGAAATGTGTAAAATATAGGAAATGGATAAAATAATACGCAGAAAAAGGAGACAATCAGAAATAAAATGTGGAAGGCATTCTGGATTTCAAGCCATCATTTTGTGCCTATATGGATGAACAAATTCATTCAGACATAGATTTTCAGTGAAAGAACAAGCTGCGGTGTGTGGGCCGTTCACCCAAAGGGGTTAATGACTGCCTTTCCAACTCACTGGCCTTGCAGGCTTTTATTTTGTATAGATCAAAGGACAAGGGTCTTTAGATAAACACCATTAGAGAGTAATTAACTTCTGCTGACCACCACCCCCAAAAAGACAGTTATGCATGCATGGATGATCAAAGGTTTGCTAATGAAAGTGGGGGTAAACAGATTTATCTGGGGAAACCTCTTTATAATTTCTAGTATTTATTCTATGTTCTAATGCCCTGGGGTAAGAATCAACAGCCTTCGGCCCATCCCCTTATTTGAAACTTTGTAAACCCTCTGGCCTTTCAAGGGGATCTTGTGACTATTTCCTATAACTATCTCTAATACTGTTCCCTTCATATTTTGCCACCACCCTGACTGAACTACCATACCTATATTCATGTGTGAAAGACTGCATTTTGTCCCATATCCTTTTTCTCCAGCCTTCCCTTCATCTCAATTTGCTGCCAGATTATCATGCTTAAAATACAGAATTGATATTACTACATTAAACAATTACAGTAAAAACAAAGTAATCTAAATGCTCTTTATAGCTGACAAAGATTTGGGTTTTCTGAGGTTATGAAGAAACTGTGTAAATCACATAATTTATTGGATATGAGAAAATATTATTCCTGGCTGGGCACAGTGGCTCACGCCTCTAATCCCAGCACTTTGGAAGGCGGGTAGATCATGAGGTCAGGTGTTCGAGACCAGCGAGACCAACATGGTAAAACCCTGTCTCTGCTAAAAATACAAAAAAGTAGCCAAGCATGGTGGTGCACACCTATAATCCCAGCTACTCTGGAGGCTGAGGCAGGAGAATTGCTTGAACCTGGGAGGCGGATGTTGCAGTGAGCCAGGATCATGCCATTGCATTGCAGCCTGGGTGACAGAATGAGACTCCATCTCAAAGAAAAGAAAAAAAGAAAATATTATTCCTAGAAACATTTTATATGTTCCTTACTTCTTCTAATATGTTTATATTTCATCTACAAAGTTCAGCTTTAGAAAAGTGATTTTCCACCTAAATGACAGCTTTTCTTAGCTTGAAACTATTAGAATGTTTTATCTTAAGTAGATTTAAGAAGGAATAAGTTGCCTTACTTTGTCTGAATAGAGTAACAATTTGAATTATTATGATGGCAAAAACCTCTAACCTTGATTAGATGACATGAGTGGTACAGATAATAATTTGGGAGGCAGGAACAACTGTTTAGAAAAGCTAAGCTAAATACCCCTCAATTTTCATTTATATCTGAGATC